CCCCCCCCCCCAAAAAAAAAGAAGACACTTCTATTTATCCTGTGAACATGTACATTTTTCTGTACTTCTCACTGCTGAGGCAGTGACCATGTTTAATTTATATCAGCCAACCCCCAAGCTGTACTTGAATCAAGTGCAGTTGAACTGAAACACAAAGTATTTTCTTAACTTTTTTTAATACACTAATCTTCAGCTGGGTGAACATATGTGGATCTGTTTCTAAGCATTGAAATTCCTCTGAATATGTACTCTAACTTTTTCAATGATAGCTTTTTAAAATGTTTTGTCATTGTCAATATTTCATACTTCCTCTTTCTAAACAGCTTACATAACTTACTGACATAAATGAGCGCAGTTTGTTTAATAATGAAAAAGTAGTAAGTAGGTTGACTTTACTCTGCCATAGCTTTAGCCTCTAAAGATAACCGTATCTCCAGCTGGGCCTCCTGGAACATCAGGAGAGTTCTAGCCAGCACGGGAGTTAATAGTTATGAATGCAAATTTTTAAATGCTGAACAAGTTAGTTATAGTTAATATTGTGGTGGCTTTTAACCTGGTATATAATTGAACTTCTGCCTTAAAAGAAATGTATTTCATTCTCAGTTTCTCTGGTAAGTACTTCTAGGATATGATTCTTTTAATTTTACTTAAAAATACGTCTCTGTACAGTGGATAAAAATTTTGTTGTTAAGTGCTGGTTTAGTCATTTAGAACTTGAATAACTTTTTAAAAATAAACCTCTTGATAATTAAATTTGGAATCATGGCAGCCAATGTTATGTGTAGACTTGCTGTAATCTGTTAAAATTTTAAATACTGTATACCTGAGCCTTCCTCACCTTTTAGTGAGAGTGCTGTTTTCTAAATGAATATAAAATCAAAAGGGAAGCCAGATTTATAAACAGAACAAAATTATGGTGCTGTATCTGTAGACTTCAAAGTGAAGCTAATCTTCACATTTATTTACCTACTATCAAATACATTTTTTCAGATTCTGTTGCAGAGAAAATATTTTGCCTTAATTTTTGGTTTTAGGCTTATTTGCAGGAGCAGAGAACCTTTGATGGTGTTCGAGTTAAATTCATTCATGTGAAATTTAGGAACTGAAAGCTGAAAAAGTAGAGAGCTTTCATTTGAAAAACAGGTGTTGAAAGATTGGACCTGGTGACTCTTAATTCAATTTGAAGGAGATGAAGTTAGATCTGTAAAGAGAATCTAAAGCTACGGATGAAGTTAATTGAGAACATTAGACACAAAAAAAAAAAACCCCAACCACCAAATGCCTGAAAAAACATCTGAGGAAAAAAAAGAAAACAAAAACAATAGTGGACACCCAATTTCTAGCGACATTCCAGCAGCAGTCAAGGATCTAACCTACAGGCTTTCCAAAAGCACCAGTCTGCAATTTTGCATGCCTAAAAACCATGTGGAGTTTGGTTACTAGAACCATTATGCTAATTAACTAGAGTCCTTTAATGACAAAATGTTTTTGATAAATCTTGTTTTGATAATTCAAGCACACAAAGGTTGTTGTTTTATAAAACTAATTTTTGTAAATTTCAATTTGATTCCATTTTTATTTGAACAAAGCTTAATGAAATTTTAAAAGTATCAGCAAAAATGTTGTCATAAGTGTTAAAAAGATGACTCAAAGTCATCTTAGGATGATTTTGATGTGGGATCAACAGTTGGTTGAATGAAGTTATGTGTTAATACTGGTTAGCAAAAGTCACATTTAGGAGAGAGTCTATGTTGAGTGTCAAGTCAAAATGCTCAGAAAATAATTAACATCAGTGAAAAGTAGTGCTTAAAGAAAAAAGAGGAATGCAAGGCAAGGTTTAAATCTGATACTAAAGCTTCTTGCTCCAATATTCATGCTAACAACTGTTCTAATGTGTGAAGATAAGATTTGTTTTGTTCTTAGGGAAGCAAATTATAAATGAAAGAAATAAAATGGTACTGTGAATGAGATTTCTTGTTTGGTGACTTAATAATTTCAGTTTGCAATTTAGATTTATTTTCAGGCTTATTTTTTTATGTAATTCAGAATGTGGTCCTGAATATTTGTAAAAAGCTCTACCTGGATGTATAGCCCTTTGATTGTTTTGAAAAAAAAAAAAAAAAAAAGCAAAAGCAAAATTTTACATGCAACACTTTCCAGGTAAAACCATTCATAAATATATATTACTAAATCCAGTCTCACCTGAGGTAGTACATCTAACTTTGGTTAGGAGGAAATGGTCATATTGTAGACTGTAGAATATCAGAATAATGAAAGTTTTCTTTTAATTACTTAACACTTAAGACCTTTGAGTACCTTTACAGAAGGAAACATTCTTGACAATAGCTATAATTTTGATCACCTTACTACTTCATTTTCTACAACATCCATTTATGATATTGGTTTATTCATAGCATATATGCTGTGGTTTGTGTATTTTTGAAAAAAGCTTGGTGTGGAATTTTGGGGTTTTATTTTCAATCACCTTCAGAGCCTGTTAAACTAAAAGTAGTTTGATTAAAAGAATTTTTACAGTGGTGTCCTTTAGAACACTGCAAGTGTCTTTGCACTGCCAAACTGCATTATTTTTATTAATCTGTATGCAGTAATTGTATTGCAGGTAGTTTTTTGCACTTCAAAAATATTCTGCATTTAATATACTGTTCACAAAGAACGCTGTTAATCGGCTTGTCAGAGGAAATTACAAATGCAAGGAAACATTAAAAAACACTTGAGTAAAATATCACAAAGATTTTTCTCCTAAATAATCCATTTTACTGAAAATACAGGATACTGTAATAAAGTAATTGATACACGTGTTATAGTCTAAGTTATAAAATCAGACCCATTGTGTTAAAATAATGCATTGCATTGAGAGTAGTTCTGATTTGTTTAGCAGCCTCTGAGCATGCACCTTTGAGCAATTTTTGTCATGCTTGGATGAGGTTGGCAGGATCTCCTTTTTGAAAGTAGTCTTTGCAGATTTTTAAGCTCTTTTGCTTAATTGAATTTGCTTAGTTTATTGGAAGTGGAATTAAGTTTTACAGTAAGACCTTCCTGATGTGTTTGTCTGTAAGCTAACTGTTGTTACTAAGTAGATCCAGTAATAATTTTAATATTTCTCTCATCATTTTAAGACTGAATAAAGCCTTATTGCATAATTAAGTACTAGAAAAAATAAGCTGGCTAATTGAGTAGTGAGTGTACTATCCTTCCTATCTTTTTTTGTGCAGCTAACTTTTATCTGCCTCAATAATATATGGTAAGTGGAAAACTATTTACTAAGGAAAAAAATACGTTTTGTGACCATAAAAAGTTGCTTTTCCTTTTGTACCATTTAGCATATTAAAGTGGGTCATTTGTGGTTGAGAAGGAAAGAGTTTTCTTTCCTTCCTTCACCCTACAGCTCACAGTTACTGTAGCTTGCAAATACTCAAGTATTCTCTATTATAATTCCATATATTGAATTTTTGAAAAGTTCATTTGCTCTTCGTAAACTGAAATGCCCCCTGTAAAACATGCAGTTTGATTCCCCCCCCCCCCCCAGTTTTGAAAATAAAATTCTGCAGTCAAACTGGTAGTCATTTCACCATGTAAATATTGTAACAGACACCAAAATAGGGGTTTGGGGTGGAAAAAAGCTCTGATGAAAAATTGAAGTGTTTGATTTTGTGCTCTTCAAGTAATTTTTAAGAGACTACTTGCATTGTGTTCTGTTTTTTTGTATTAAAAAAAAAAAAACCTTCTGGACAAAACATGATTTGTAGACAAATATTTACAGACAGATCAGTAATTTGTGTTGAGTTGTGAAAGTGAGGGTTGGGGGTGGGAAGTACAGCCAGTTGAATTCCTGTTTTTCTATTCAATCCCAACACTATTTCATAAGGATAGACTTTCAACAGGAGATACTTTTTCAGTGTCTTTGCCTAGTGTGTTAATTTTGACCTTCTTAATGCAACATGATATGTTTCCTTTTATCCCCAGAAATTCCAAAAATCTTCCCAAAGAATAAAGGGTTTTGAAGATGTTCTCAAAGCAGAAGGGACAGAGTAGCAAAATAAGTATGTGCCTATATTTACATGCTGTTACCTAGACATGATGCATCTCTTGCATAGGAATACACCTCCTGAAATGCTGAATAAAGTTGCCTTCCTGAAACCATGCTTTTTATCATGTTTAAAAAAAAAAACCAGAAACCTCACATACTTGTTGCTTCAGTTTAAGTTAATGGAAAGATAAGCACATGTTGAATAAAGAGAAAACTTTGTAGATACAAGCCAACAAATTACGGAATTTTGGGTAGTTCAGAACTTCTGTAAGACTGCACAAATGTCACTGTAAATAGTCAAATCTGACAAAATTGTTTTCAGAAAACTAAAGCTGGAACATGTCAGCTTTCATAGGCACAGAAGTTCTTTTGGCTGAATGTGACTTCTTTGCACTTAATGAAGTCAATTACAATGTTCAATCTGTTTGGGAGGTCCTGAATGTGTATCATAGGGTTTTTTTCTCTGTTCATGACTATGTTCATGGCAGTTTGCATTAAGGATGTACCTTATCTTAGTCTTCATACTCACCACCGGAGGTCAGGCTTAGGAAACAAGCTGTATTGATTTCTTGATGATGCTGTACTACCTTTCCATACTGTCTCTAATTTGAGCCCTTGTCCTTTTTTTTCTTTTTCCTTTTTTCTTCCCCCCGCTCCCCACTTCCCCCCGAGGTACTGTTGCCTTGCACTGCCTTGTCTGAAGATGCTGACAAAGGCATGTGAGGTACTGTACCCCAAAAAGAAAAAGGTGGTCATACAGTATAGGTTTTACCAAATAAGCTGCATTTTCCTCATACAGCTGTCTTGCTTTTTTGCTTTTTTTCTTTTCTTTTTTTTTTTTTTAAAAAAAAACCCATAGCTTAAGTACCTTCTCTCAGTTTGTCTGTGTTCATGTTTACCCTCTAGCCCCAAACAGTCTCCATTTCCAAGACATTGCTG